GGAGAGATTTTCACAATAGGGCACGTGCGCTCGCCAGACAGACAGAGAGAGACATAGAGACAGAAAGCAAGAAATCACCCCCCAGAGGGGATGGTCACGCCGCAATCCCTTCTCCTCCATTCTCCTCTCGGGATCTTGGAGATGCACGCACACGCGCCCGGTGTAAGTTTTAAGCCACTGGATCCAGGACGCGAACCGCAGTCGACTACGTGGGAGTCCAGCGACATAGCCATTACGCTAACTGCTGGTTCCCGCCATAGTCATTTTTTTAAAAAGTGTGATAAGCACAAGTTATGCGAGATTTAACCCCTTACATTTATTTTGAGAGTTTTTTGCTGTAGGGCACCGTGCGCTCACCAGAAAAACAGAGAGACAGAGCGTGTCCTTGTTCCTCTCTGATGAAATTGAAATAAATAATGAGTCAAGTTAAATTAAAAAAAATTAAAACTTTAAAAAAATATTTTTAAAATGTACCTTTGTTTATGACTATTATAATTATTATTTAAATTTGATGGAGGGGGGTGAGAAAGCAAGCTCCCGGGACCGGGACTCAAACCACGGTCCACCATGTGGTTTGAGTCCAGCACCTTTAACCACCATGCCATCTGCCGGGCCCAAGTTAAATAAGATCTCTCTTTAAAAATATTTGTTTAATTTTATTTATCTGTTCACTTTTTAAAAAATTTAACCAGAGCGAAACACACACACACACAGAAAATGAGAAAGCAAGCCACCAGGTCTAAGACTTGAACTGTGGTTGACCATGTGAGAGTCCAACGCCTTAACCACCATGCCACCTCTTGGTCCTAATAAAATCTTTAAAAAAAAAAAAAAAGACGTGCCGGTGGGGCTGAGGGGTGCCCTCCCACCCAGCTGGGGCTTCCGGGTTGTGTCTCTGTCCCTCCGTCTCTCGCAGCCTCCCCTCTCCCTGACCGGCTCTGTCTCCGCAGACCCAGAACGTCATGTACGACCTCGTGTCCGAACTGCACGCCCAGCGGGAAGAGCTGGAGGCCCGCCTGGTCGCCCTGGAGAGCCGCCTGGACGCGCTAGGCGCCTCCCTGCAGGCGCTGCCTACCCTCATCGCCCAAGCCATACGCCCGCCCCCTCCTCCCCTGCCTCCCCGGCCCGGCCCTGGCCCCCCGGACCTTGCCACTCGGAGCCCCCCGTGCCGGTGGCCCCCCGTGACCGCCTCAGGGATGACGGCCCTGCCCGCCACCGGACCCCCTAAATCTTGGCCATCGTGTGGCCACCGCCTCCGCGCCGCCGTCCGGGATGCCGTGTACAGCGGTGCCTCTTGGAATTCAAGAAAGCCGAAACAGAGTTGGGCCGCGTGGATTAGAACCTGCCCCTCCCGGACTGCCAGGGCAGAGGGCAGGGCTGGACCCCACGGGAGAGGGGCAGGGGAGCCCGGAGCTTCCTCTGGTCACCTGGCCCCCCCGACTCTCCCTAGGCCCCTGGCGGGCTTAGAGCAGCCGCGGGAGGGGGTCCTCGCCAGTTTTGAATAAAGCAGGACCCACCAGCCTCGTGTTTCTGTGTGCGGCGGGCGGCGGGGGACACCCGGGGGAGATGGGGCTGCCCAGCCTAGTGCCAGCCTGGGTTCCCCCAGACAGCTCCCAGGGATATCTGGGCCTGTCCCATCTGATTGAGGGGAACCGGAGGATGGCCTAAGAGCTCTGGCCTGAAGGCAGTGGTTAGTGACATTGTCCTTCCCCTGCCACCTACTAGCTTGCTTTATTTATTTAAGAATTACCTATTTGGGGGACCAGCAGTTGACGTAACGGCTACGTCTCTGGATTCCCATGTAGTAGACCGCGGTTCAAGTCCCGGACCCGGTGGCTTAAATTCACACTGGGCGCGTGTGCGTGTGTGCCCAAGATCCCGAGAGGAGAATGGAGAAGGGATTGCGGCGTGGCCATCCCCCCTGGGGAGTGATTTCTCACTTTCTGTCTCTCTGTCTGGCGAGTACATGTGCACTGTAGCAAAAAAAAAAAAAAAAAATGACTTGCTTGGAGCCACACGGCAAGGAGCCAGGATCCAAACTACCACCCTGAAGAACATGCACCTTGCGAAGGACACTCCATGGGGGTGCTGTGTGTTTTTGTGTGTGGGTGGGGCGGGGTGTAGGAATGTGGCAAGGGAGGCAAGGTGCCATTTTCATGGGAAGGTTTGGGGGTGGGCTAAGGGGATGTTGAGGGACTAGCTGATGAAGTAGTGGTCTCCTGGCTGGACTCCCACATGGTTGACTGTAGTTCAAGTCCCGGACCCGGCAGCTTGAAACTCACGCCGGGCGCGTGTGCGTGCGTGCCCAAAATCCCAAGAGGAGAATGGAGGTGAAGGGATTGTGGTGTGGCCATCCCTCCGGCTGGGTGATTTCTCAGTTCTCTCTCTGTCTCTCCAGCAAGTGAACAAAAATGCCAAAATCTACAGCAAAAATCTCTCTAAAACACATTTTTTTTAAGACAGGAGGAGAATCAGTAAAGTCCCTCCAAGCCTGGGGGTTGGGGTTATGGGGTCAGACAGCGCCGGCAGGCCCTTGAGATAGGGCCCCAGACAGGGAAGGCAGACCTGACTCCTGGGGGCCTAATCTGGACCCAGCTGAGGAGTCTCCCTGCTGTGGCAGTGTCTGATAAAGCCGTTGGCTGTCTGGCTCAGGGAGATAAGCCAACACAGCTGGGTCCTGGCAGACCTAGGTTCAAGTCCTAACTGCCATTATCGGGTGCCCCTAGACATGGGGACCTCAGTTGTCTCATCTGTAAGATGGGGGTGACACTAAAAAAAAAAAGATTAGGGTGACAGATGTAACCAGAACTCTTTAAAAAGCTGAGGTAGGGGCCTACGGATGGCATAGTGGTTAAGGCACTGGACTCCCACATGGGTGACTGCATGGTTCGAGTCCTGGACCCGGGGGCTTGAAAATCACACCAGGCACATGTGCGTGCGTGCCCAAACTCCTAAGAGGAGAATGAAGGAAAAGGGTTTCAGCAGGGTCATCCCCCCAGGGGTGACTTTTTACTTTCCTTCTCTCTGTCTTTGTCTCTCTCTCTAGCGAGCACACATCTCCTATGGCAAGAAATATATATTTTTTAAGATTTATTTTTATTTCTTGTTATTTTTCATTTGATCAGAAAGGGACAGAGAAAGAAAGGAAAAGTTAAAAAGTAACCTTGGTGGGACCAGCAGTTAGCATAATGGCTATGTCGCTGAACTCCCATGTAGCCAACTGCGGTTCGAGTCCTGGACCCGGTGGCTTAAAACTCACGCCGGGCACTTGTCCGTGTGTGCCCAAGATCCCGAGAGGAGAATGGAGGAGAAGGGATTGCGGCGTGACCATCCCCCCTGGGGGATGATGTCTCGCTTTCTGTCTCTCTCTGTCTAGCGAACACACGCGCCGTATAGCAAAAACCTCACCAGAAAAAAGTAACTTTTATGGGGCTTATTTTCTCTCAAAATGAAATAAATGTGTTTTTTTTTTTTAATTATTTTATTTTATTTTATTTTTAATTTATTTTTTATTTTATTTGTATTATTATTATTACTTATACATTCAATCACCATACATCATTTAGATTGGACAGAGATTTTAGCCAGTATGATACATATCTCAGTCCAGTTGAGAATCCTATGCCTATCCTCATCAACAGATAACAAACTATGTCCATGTGCTACTAAGATCTTCTCTCTCCATTTTCCCCTAATTTCCTTTCCTGCACTCTCCCACTCCCACTCTCTCCTTCCACAGCACAAATTTTTTAAGGATTATTATGATTATTTAGTCTCATTATTATTTTTTTTTTTGAGAGATTTTCACTGTAGGGTGCGTGCGCTCGCCAGACAGACAGAGAGAGACAGAGAGACAGAAAGCGAGAAATCCCTGGGGGGATGGCCACGCCGCAATCCCTTCTCCTCCATTCTCCTCTCGGGATCTTGGGCACGCACGCACACGCGCCCGGCATGAGTTTTAAGCCACCGGGTCCGGGACGCGAACCGCGGTCGACTACGTGGGAGTTCAGCGACATAGCCATGACGCTAACTGCTGGCTCCCTCATTATTATTTTTAAACACTCAATCTCTATATATGATTTGGCTTATAAAGAGAATTCACCCAGAATGAAATATTTCTCAGGCCAGTCCAGTTGAGAGTACTGGACATGTTATTATCAACAGGTAAGAAACCATTCCTGTGTCCCCAAAAATGCCCCCTGCCTCTCTATTTGTTCTCATGCTAGCCTTCTCTATACTCTACCCTACTCCCACCGCTCACCCCCCACTCCACACTGTCTTCAGCATCCATAACTATTTTCACTGCTTTTTATGACCTTCAACATTTCTTCTTTTAAGATTTCTTTCTTGATTTGTAATTGATATTTTTTATTATCATTCATATGTGAAGTGCATCATTCAGATTGCAAAGAGACCCAACATGATCTACACCTCAGTCCAGTCCAGTTGAGACCACCATGCACATCCTCGTCAACAGATAATAAACCTTATCTGTGTCCCACAAGTGTCTGACCTCTCCATTTCCCCCCCAAATTTCCTTTCCTATGCTCTTCCCCTCCCACACT